AAATGGTAAAAAAGTATTAGGAATGAATATTAATTTTATGTTCCTCTCCATTCCTTACATTCCTAATGGTCACCATTTAGAGCCTAATAGTCCAAATTAAATAGATAAAAAATTATAATCATTCAAACTAATTATAAAAATATGTTAAGAAATAAAATAAAGAGAGTACAAACCTTAAAAAATAAAGAGTGGAGAGAAAGTAAAAGTTTCAATCAAGAAAAATAAAATGTGAATGATAAAACAAAAGATATTATATAAATTGGAAAAAAAAATTAAAAAGACTATGAAAATCTCAATTTAAAATTTTAAGATATGCACAATCCTCTTAATAGTAAGACCGATTGTTTAGCTCTATCATCCCGTTCGAGGATTATTGAATTTTTTTATGTATGCAACAACTCCAAATTGGGTAATCAATAGATGAAATTTATTTTAATGAAATGATTGGTTGAAAAAAAATATATATGCCCAACCATGCCAAAAAACAAAAAATTATAATCATATTTATTTCATCAATCAAGTTATAGAATATCACAGAGAAAATGAAACATTTCTACTTATGACGGTACTGATATTTTTCAATATTAAAAAAAAATAATTCTATAAAATGAAAATTTATACAGGTAAAAAAATCATAATTAATAATATAATTGCTATTAAAATCCAAGAGTGTTTAAGGTTTGATGAGTATAGATCTCTATGAGAAATAGACCAATGACATCAATGGTATACATTTATCAATCATGGATATGTGATAATTATAAAATATTATATAGAGTTTTATGATATTATTTAAATGATTTTCTTTTTTAAGTTTATAATATTTGAATTTTTTTTCTGTGATTTTATCTCATAATTAATATATATTTATTATGGATCTGAATATTGTATTCACTTATTTATATATTTATGGGTCGGCATGCTATGAATTGCGACATAAAACTCATCTTTAAACAATATTTCCAAATATATTTGTAACTCAGTAGGTTACTAACTAAAAATTAAATATTTATATCAGTGGGTCCTAGCTTGTATATTAGAACATGAAAATCAAGATATAAATTAATATTTTATGGTTTAAGAACCGTGTTTAATAGTATTTCAAAATATTTTGGTAATTGGATTACTAATTAAAACTTAAATATTAATGTTAATAAATTTTAATGTGTTTACCCGCGTATTACGCGGGTCCTAACCTTGTAAGACTATAAAACCTGATAATTTTGATAAATAAAACCTTAATTTTGATAATAAAACCTTAAAATTTTTATAAATATTATTTATAAAATGTATAAATATTATGGAGCAAAAATCACGATAGTGATGTATGTGCAGGGCCGGTACTGAGATTTAGGGGGCCATAAACTAATTTTTTAGGGGGTTTATAGATAAATTTTTAATTTAGGGGCCTTTTTGCAAAAAAAAAAATTCGGGGGTCTATTTTTAATATTAGAAAATCAAAAAAATTTGGGGACCCAAGACCCATGCCTCTTGTATCTACCCTTAGGACCGGCGTGTATGTGTGTGGTAGGAAACTTTAAAAATCTGTGAGAATCCTTCCTAAATTTGTTTCTTCCGTCAAGTCCAGAAAGAAAGGAAGTGTTTC